GGAGTTTGCTGCGTAACTTCTCGCACAGCCTGCACACTGAACGTTGGGGCGAGGTGGCCGCATATCTTCAAGATTGCTTGCCCATTTTTGTCTTTGTGCGGCAGCACTGGGATGAGGTTGCGTATGTTCGAGGCATGGATGCTGCACCGTCAGTTGAGGATGGCTTTGATGCGAAGGGATTGACCAAGATCCTTCTAGACACTTGGTTTCTGGCGTACTGGGAGATGCAGTTGTGCCTTCGCACCCACATCTTCAAGCTGCTGCGATGGTCGGAAGGATGTGCATGTCACGAGTCTTTGCTAGCGGGGAAAACTCCTCACAAACGAGATTGTGAGCTGCGCTCGGAAATCGCTGTGCCCAAGACTGTTCCATGCCGATGCCCTGCTTCAGGCTGCCGTGCAGCTGAGATGGTTGCTGGCAAGCTTGATGATCTCGCCGACAGCCTGCGAGGTACATCCTTCGCAAGTTTCATGGCAGATTCCCATGTGACCTTGTCTGCAGACTTGTGGGGTGACCTTAGGCAGGAGTGGCTAAGGGGTGCGTCCTACATTGTAGAAGATTTGAGTGTAAGGCTCGATTTCTTCCAACATCTTCCATGGGTCATTCTGGGTGGTTGTCATCATGATGTAGGGGAGGCCAGAAGGCAGCTTCGGCGAGCAATTGAGTTATGGGAGAAAGTGCCTAAAGATGCCCAGCCGTTGCAGCATCACCTGTGCCAACAACTGTTTCTGACTGACAGTTTGCATGACGAATTGCTAGCGTTTGTGTCAGGCTCCCAGCCTCTTTCAGCGTATGCAGCGCTTGAGACATTCTTGGCCCCTTTGACCTTCGTTCCCATTGCAGAAAGGATCATTGAGGCTGCGCACAAAGAATTGGGTTCGGTTTCTGCTCAGAAAAGCCCGACACAGTACTCCATTGCCTTGCGTGTGCCTGAGATGACACAATTGCTGGATATTCAGCCAGACTCTTTCGGCAAACTTGTGGAGACTTTCACACAAGCTCGGAAGCTTCGAGAGTTTGCTCAGTGGTTTCCAGGCCACGGTTGCCACCCAGACCTCGTGGCTTTAGGGTCGAAGTCACACACATCAAAACGCCTGGTTGTTGTACGTCGCCTTCTGTACAGAGACACTCGTGTGCAGCATGGAAACTTATCCAAAGCTAGCCGTGTGCATGATCGCGGGACACAACGTCGAGACAAAGAAGCTCGGAAGTTCCAGCCCAAGAAGCCTTCTGTTGATGAAGGCCACGTTTTCGCAGATGCTTGCACCCAGCAGCTGCGAGAGGTTAGCATGCATGATCCGAGTCAAGTTGTGTCTTTGGGAGAGAAGTTTTTCATGCCCCTGATGTTGCGACCCTCTGCCATTCACCAGCCAGCCCATGCGCCTGGTACTTTGACAGCAAGAGCTAAGAATGACATGGTTGTCAGCGTGCTTGCCAACGTTGGGACGCCGGAGTTGCCCATTGTGTCTGCAATGCATGATGCTGCATCTACAGAGAGCTTCTCGCTCCTGCCGCATGTTGTCGAGTTGGGCTTGGACACCTTTCTTGAAAGGTTCCGCTTCTGGGCAAAACCAGAGAAAGTTCTGCTCTCTTTGCCGAGCATTTCAGATGCCCATGCGGTGCAGGTGGCCAAGGTGTTGGAGTACTTGGCGGAGCGTGCTTGTTTCGACAGCAAAAGTGCAGCTGTTCGTGCGACCGGTGCCAAGCTGCCCGCTGAGCTTGAAGATGCTGCACTCATGTTGTCCGAGGCCGCTTACCTTGCTCGAAATGACTCTGGATGGTTCTTGACTGCTTCAGGGCTTGACAGCATGACCTTCTCCCACAGATTGTCCAGCCCTCGCACCTTTCCCCAGCTTGCAAACCGTGACCAGCCTTTGAGTGAAATGTCGGTGTGTCAGTTGATGTTGAAAGCTCGCCAGGATGGATGGGTTTGGCATCCTAAGCCGAGTCCGAAAAGAGCCGCAGAACTCAAGTATGTGGTTGGGGGACCGCTTGAGTGGTATTCGGCAGGTGTTGTCGTTCCAAAGCATTACTTGCTGTGCCTACTTGATGCCCCGCGGTTGAGAGACGAGATGGCTGTGCCGTGGATTCCCCATTGTGCCCCTGTTGCGGTGTACAGCCTGTTGTTCGAAGGCAAGCCCCTGCAGGAGGCACTTGCCCTCGCTGACGCAAAGTCGCATAAACGAAAGCGTGAGGTGTCGCAACTTGCTTTGGATGTTGCTCTGCCAGAGGCCGAGGAGAGTGTGCCGCGACCGCAAGCGGCTCGCACCGTGTCAGGCGGCAAGCCTCGCAGAAGCAAGCCTGAGGTGCCAATTGTATCTGATGTTCATGGCGTTGATGGCGTGCTTGCCGTGTGTGATGCAGGGGAACCAGAGGAAGCAGCAGGTTCGGATGCTTCAGATGTCAGCTCAGATGCAATCTTGCAGGAGCTCTTGGCTCAGATGGCGGACAATTCTGAGGATGCGCCCCCTTCGGCAGAAGTGCATCAGGTCTTGGAGCCGGCAGCACCCGCGCCTTCGCATGAAGCTGGCCCTGAGACTCCAGCTGATGATGTGCCGCCTGGGGCCGCAGCAGGCGTTGCAGTTGAAGCCTTGCGTGCTGGTGTTCCCGTGGTTGCAGCAAGAGAGCATGTGTGGGCTACGGCAAAGCCAGACCCTTGGGGAAGCTTCACTTTCAACCGCAAAAAGCCAGACAGCGCTCCTCCGTATGGAGGTTTGGAAGCGGTGTGCAAGTTTCATGCCCTGAGCTCGAAGACGGGCTGCAAAAAGTTTGTCCGTTTCGCTGGGGAGGGGCCACAGCATCAGGAGAATACTCTCCAGATCCTTCGACATTGGTGTAACCAAGCAAAACGATTCGACCGCCAACGCAAGCATATGAGGATGCCTCTGCGGCCAGAGGACATTCCGAACCGTGCGGTCATTCAAGCACAGCAGCTCCTTGATGATCCGCCCGAGGTTGTGCGTACAGACCAGGAGCTAGATGCTGCTGCATCTGCGGTCCCCAAAGCCAAAGCATCGAACACTCCGAAAACGAAGCCAAAGCCCAAGAATCAGCCCCGAAGAAAAGCTGGTGCCAAAGCCAGTGCTGCCCGATCGCCGAATGAATCCGTTCCTGTAGCTTCGGACGAGGCCGCGTCTGACCCCCCAAGCAGCAGCAATAGCAACAGCAGTTCGTCTTCGAGCTCAAGTTCCTCGTCATCAGAAGACTGAGGACTGGTATGGGCAGGTCATGAATAGGCACTCTGTCGGTTTCAAATGGGTTTTTGACCAGACTGCCTACCCAAGTCCTTGTGAAATCTGAATTTCTTACTAGGCAGGGTCTACAGTGGGTTTAAGCATTTTTGGTGCCAGTTTTGGGTAACCCACCCGGCTGGATTTAAGGGTTTAGCTCTGAACTGATGAATCAAATGATCCTTGTTTCACATGTCTCGCGTAATTTTCGCGACAGCTTTGAAACTCCGACGAACTTCATAAGGGGGGGGTGGAGGTTGTTGTCGTGACTGCAAAGCTGTTCAAGCGGGCTTTCGCGGATATCGTTGAAGAACTATTAATATGTTGTTACTATATGCTGGAACTATGCAAATGGTTAGCGGCATTCTCATTGCAAGTCTTGTGGCAGGACGGGTGCTTCGGATGTCATTCTGGTGACTGCACAGAGGCCTGGCGCTTAGACGTGCACGTAGCCACCATGCCACCGATGCCCAAGAACCTTTGAGTGTGCGATGGCAGAGGTGCTGTTGCAAGATGTTACATTGCCTGCTGGTGTCGTCTAGTGATCTAGTGTGTGTGTGTGTGTGTGTGTGTCTGTGTGTGTGTGTGCGTGGGTGTGTGTGTGTGTGTGTGTGTGTGTGTGTGCTCCTCCGTGTGTGTTGAGTGTAGCATGTTGTTGGGTCAGTCTGGGAGAGTGCTCTGTGGACGCAGCATGTGGCTGTAGTGGTGCGGAACGGGGTGGGGCATGCTTGTGCATCTGTTCAGGACAGCCAAGCTGCGGAGTGGGATCAAAGACAGGCCTGCGTGGCTTTCGTTCGGCTGTCAAGACGTGATTGCTACGTTGTGTCCTGTCCAGTGGCGTTGCAGCAGGATTGCAAGTGCGGGTTTAGCAAGTCGTTGAGACATGTGGTTGATTCAGGAGTTTGATGCAAAAGTGGGTTCCAAATTTAAAGGTTGCGAGCCAGGGCCCCGCTCTGTGGGTACAGGGCATGCCGCGACACCCCGCGACCTCCCGCGACCTCCCCGCGACCTCCCCGCGACCCCCGCGACCCCGCGCGACCTCCCCGCGACCTTGTATCCCGGGGTCGGGCAGAGGGGGCCAGGAACGTCCCGCGACCTCCCGCGACCTCGCGCGACCTCTGCGCGACCAGAAATATGTGTGTATATCCGTGCCAGGGAGGTGATTCCTGTGGCCGCGACCCAACGCGACTCCCCGCGACATCCCCGCGACTCTTGAGTATTTTAGGGTTAGGGTTTAGGGTTAAGGGTTAGGTTTTAGGGTTTAGGGCGTTTTTGTGTTGAAATAGTTCGGGTTTGACAAATATAAGGTTTGGGTGTCATTTGCAGTAAAGTTCTGTCAAGTTGATGCTGCTGTAGGATTTTTCCGGTGGTGCGGCATCGTTGTGGGTAGATGTGATCAGCTTCGGCGCTGTTTGGGCCAAAACCGCTTCCTTGGTTCATGTGCGACAGGGATACAGTCTGTCTGCGTTCTGCAAAACCGGAGTTGCGACTTTCAGTCCTGGTGTCCTGCCAAAATTCACAAAGTAGCGCCGTTCTGGGAGGTCGGAGCAGAGAACTCCTGGCGTGGGCCGTGGAATCCACTAAGGCCTGCCTGGCTCTTGTTGTTGGGCTGTGCAAGTTCATGCTAGTACTGTGAGACACAGAGCAGACACGTGCCGGTATCGGTGCAGCGTGCAGCATGTTTCGCACGCGGTGAGTTGTAAAACAAGCTTTCTGGCTTTAGGGTACTTGCAGCCAGCCCGGCGTGCAGGACCAGGTTTGTGTAGAGGGATGGCTGGCCATGCACCTGCCAGCAAGATCCGACGCCTTGACACCGAGGTCTTCGCTCGTGTGCCTGGTAGCGGTGTAGAGAATGCCAAGAACCTCGTTGATTGGCCAGCGTATGCAACTGCGGGCCTGCAAGATGCTGCTGTGGCAGCAGGCCAGTCGCAGAGTCATCTAGCTGAGCATTTTAGTGGTCGCAAAACCATTTACATATGCTCGAGCTACAGTGGGATGGGAACTTTTGAGCATTGCATGAAGCGCTTGGCAGTGGCTTGCGCAGGAGCTGTGGAGGAGACTGGGGTGAAGTTCTGGTCTGCAAGTGAGTGCGATCAGGCAGTTCGAGACATGCTCCTCAAGAGTGCAGCTTGTCCTGAGCACGTCTTTGGTGACTTGACGGAGCGAGTGGAGCCGCAGACCCTGGCACGCATGAAGCATGCGGTGGGATGCCTTCAACAGAGGGCGAGGGACATTGCCGGCACAAAGCAAACCCCTGCTCAGAAGAAAGTTGAGCTGGGCAAACTGAATGACCGTTGTATGCAGAAGCTTTTGGAGCTGGCCATGCAGGCAGTTGCCGCAGATCGTGTGCGACCAACGAGACGCTGTTATTGCTATGTTCATGAGGAGCTCTGCCCTCTTTTGCCGCCAGGCTTGGACGATGGCACTGATTGCCTGCTGCTGGAAGCAGGTGGCAACACTTGCGTCAGTTTCTCCCCGCAGGGGAAGCAGGCGAGGTGGTTACACGATTCTGCAGTTGTGGCTGCTGTGTGGCTCGCATGGTGTGCTGGGCATTGTGACATGGTCATGCAGGAGTGCAGCCACCTTTTTAACACTTCGGAGGCCATGCAAGCAGCGTTTCCCCCGGAGCAAGGTTGGCACACTTCCGCTGTGACAGTAGCGGGCAAAGACCTGGGGATCCCGATGAACCGGCCTCGCAACTTTTCCTGGACCGTTCGGCTACGCAGACTGAGCATGGTCGCCAGCTTAACGCCAAGCCTGTTCTTGCAGCTGTGTGGCAGCGAGCTGCGGTGTGATGGGCACGATTTCTTCATCCTTGCCGAGGATGCAGCTCATGACTATTTGCAGGCCACCACGGAGAAGCTTTTGCTTGGCGAGGGTGGCTTTCGGAAGTACTTGTCCGAGGGCTGTCTCCGGCGGCTCCAGGATTATGAGAAGTTCTACTCGAGGCAGCTCGCAGAAGGCAAGGTCGTCGAGCTGCCCGTCGTTGACCTTTCCCAGAATGTTAGTGTTAGGGCAACCTTGTCGACTATGTTGCCTGCTTTGCTGACGGGGTCCTGTGTGTGGAGCATGAAACACCAGCGCCAGCTGACCACACTGGAGCTGTTCTTCGCAATGGGATGGCCAGCTCCGGTAGTTTTGGACGACGCCAGCTTCCATGCAGAGTTCCCCTTCGTGCAGAAGCAGTTCGAGGAGACGCATACTCGCACCTTGACCAAAATGGTTGGGAACTCCTTCCATTGCCGTGTGGCAGGCCTCTTTCTTGCAGCCTGCCTAACCCTCACGAAGCATCGATGATGGCACTTGGCACGCTCGTGTTTCGCAAGTTCATCTGAGCAAAGCAGAGCCGCCCAGTGACATAGGATTTTGCAATCCTAGAGGTGAGGTTCGCAGGAGCACGTGCTTCGCAGCAAAGAAGGCGTTTGTGTGAGTTTGCAAGTTTGTATTTCTGAGTGCTTCGTGCTCGTGCCCAGACTCAGACATCTGATGTGCGTGCATAGTGTCAAGCGCATGTGTGAATGCGCACTGTTTGTGATGACGTGAGCTTGATCCATCAATACGGGTGCGGAGGCGCATCCCAAGTGCTTCCTTCTTACTCTTCATCTTTGTTGCAGCATGGCAGCTCTGTTTGCAGATGCGGCCTCTGTGGCTGGAGATTCAATCGACGAAGATTGGAAGCAGTTCCAGCTTCCTGAGCTGGGCCAGGAGGAGGTTGATGAGAGCCCCCAAGTTCCCCAAGCATCGGGCAAACGTGGTCGCAAAGGTGGCGGCAAGGGCAAGGCGGACAGCGGCAGAGGTCAGAAGGGCCAGGGAAAAGGCAAGTTGGGTGTCATCAAGAAGCAGCTGAAGGGGCCGATCAAATGCAAGGGGTGCAAGAAGAAGATCCCTCCGGAGCAGCAGGCCCCGAACTTCCCGGGGTGCTGGGTGTGCAAGAGGGCACTAGACAATGTCTGGAAATGCGCTTGCCGTCAAGGAGAACAGGCAATGTCCTTCGTACAGGAATGCCGTCGAGACGACGAAGCTTGTTGTCGCCTCGTCCAGTCTTACTTGAAGGCATGCCCTGAAAAGAATGCCACCGACGGATCCTGTGCCGGAAAGCGCCGAGGAAAGTGGTCCATCGTCAAGTACATGGAGTCCGTCCGTTGCAGCAGTGGATTAGTGAAAGACTGCATAGGGGAGTTCATGTCAAAGATGCTGTACCAAGAGCACGCATTGACGGCACGAGGTGGACGGAAAAGCGCTGCCGAAATTGAGGCCCAATGGGAGAATCTTGCCTTGGAAACAGCTTTGATTCGGCTTTGATCAATCGTTTCATTGGCGGGTTGATACTGATTGACAGTCATTGAGAACGGTTTGTCACTATCATTGTCACAAGATGCATCGGATCAACTTCGTCAGAGCAGTTAACCGCATCGGATCGTTTCGGCTAGTAAAGCTTTTGCTGTACTCTAGCTTGTGCATCCTACCCACCAGCTCACCACCTCCCAGCCACACTACTAGGAGTCCTAGCAAGTAAAACAAGAGTTTAAGTTTGGGCTTTTAGCATTTCGCTGGGGCTCGATAGCTGACTATCAGTTTTGACCGACTGTATAACAATAACAGGTGCTTCCTAGAGTCGCACTCAGTATTTTTATAACGTCGGTCAACCCTGCATAGAGTTGGTCGTGTCTTGCTAGGCGTTTGGCTGTTTATAGTCTGACTCAGGAAATGGGAGAAGGACATCGAGAAGGGCGCCATGCAGAACACCTTGTACGACTACAAGGGCCCGGCAGGAAGCTTGAGGGTCTGGGTAGCCACAAAGGACACCTTGTCCTTCCGCAGCGAGTACCTCCACACGAAGGAAGTCGTGTGTGAAGGGGACTCGGTGAAAAAGGGAGGTGACGAAGACGTCGACCGACTTCGCAGCGAAATCATGTCAGGCCACGGCCAAGGTGTTGGCGCTGGCATGGAACAGGCTGCCAAGGCGATGGCGTTGAATGGACAAGAAGCATTTCAGGAGGGCTCCACCGGCTTCCTCAACGTGTTGGATCTCCAGAATGATGTGTTCATGCTGGAGGCTGGTGAGGACGACGGCGAGGCAGGCCAAAACCCGACAACCACAGACGAGCCTTCTCCGAAGAAGCCCAAGTTGTGGATTGACCGGGACAGGATCGTCTCCCAGACCATCCGCACCGTGAAGAGCCAGCACGAAACCTTCGAGACCAAAGCCATGGCTCAGCTCAACCGGCAGCAAGCGTACTTGAAAACATTCCTCAGTGAGCATGAGGCTGAAAGCAAAGGGGACTTCAAGGGCGAGTACGAGACTTTGAAGACGAGGACCCATGGACTCGAGCTTTGCTTGCGCAACAAAGACGAGGAAAAGATCAAGCAGTTCATTGGGTTGTTTGGCCACGCCGACTCCCCAGCTCCGCCTTGCGAAGACTACGACAAGCTCCGCCCTTTGTGTGTCTTCCCAGCCATGATTGAGGACTACAACAAGTGCACAGAGCAAGAGCACCTGAAGGCTGGGATGATCTGTTCAGTCAATCTCTTGTCTGTGGTCCTTTGAAGTGTTTGTGTTTTTGGGGTTCAATAGTCTGGGAAAACATTTGTGTCGTGGCTGTTTTTTCACATAGACGTGCATTTGAAGTTGACCTTGCGGTGGATGTTCGTTGTAGTACCTTTCGTGCGTGATTTGACAGGACGTGAGTGCAGCTCTGGCTGCCGTTCGGGAGCCGATCTCTCAACTCCTCGCTGGTGCGCTTAGGGCGGAGAAGTCGCTGAAGACTGCGCTCACTCAGCAGCAGAAGGTTGCGGCGCAGAAGCATGCGAAGGCTCAGAAGGCGTTGGCGGCAAACACCTCGCAAGGCCTTGCAATCTTCGACCAAGGTGTTGCAAATGCCTCCGCCATCCCTGTCTTCAAGGCTGATGCTCTCGGCCAAGGAGACAATGTGCCAGACCTGTCCAAGCCTTTCCTTGTGCACATCGACGAGTGGGTTGCGGAGATCAACCAAGAGAGCAGCGTCACGCGGCAAAAGGTTGATGCCTTCAAGGTGATGTTTGACACTTTGCGTGCCCAAGCGAAGGGTGGCCGGGCATCCAAGCTGATGAAGGAGCTGCTTTCTGATAAGGAGGCAGAGGTTGACTTTGAAGCCAAGGTCAATGCTCTGCTGAAGAATGTTAGCGGATTGGTTAAGACCAGCAAGCTCAGCAAGCCCATCCAGGACGTCATGGCAGTGTCTGTTTTCGGCATGGACCAGGGCTATGACAAGGTGTCTTGCGAAAGTGCATCGATGGCATGTGTCAGGTTCAACGTGAGTGGAACCCGTAGCGTGGTCGTGGCGCACACACTTGAGGTCATCGGCTACATGCAGCGAAAAGGCGTGACCGGCAGCATCAGCGTCGCCAGGATGGCAAGCTTCTTCAGGAGCCTGAGTGCCACGACGATCTCGGATTTCCAGGCACAGTGCACGCTTCAGCAGGCAACTGTTGGTGCTGGCGATGTGCTGTATCTGCCTGCTGGTGCGGTGCTTGCAGAGCTTGCTCGAGCTTGCAACATTGGGTTGCGAGTTCCGCTCGTCGTGAATGCCACCGCCCATCCCAATGTTGCTATGACCTTTGCCAGGCGGCGTGATGAGATCGCCCTTCAGGAGGCGAGTTCGCAGTTTACGGAGAGCCAGAAGCAGGTCCTGAAGCAGGAGCACGCGCTTCTGGACAGCCTTATCAAGACAGTGGCTGAGGCTGAGAATCCGGAACCGGAGCCTGCAGCTGCTGCAGTTGAGAAGTCAGAAGCCAAGGAAGGCGGCAGCGAGACGCCTGCTCCTGCTGTGGAGCCTGCTCAGAATGATCAGGTGAAGGCTTGAGTCATTTTTCCTTCGAGATTTGAGGGTCAGGGGCGAAGGTCCAAACCTTCTTGCTCGATTTGAGAATCGAGAGTTGCGCTAGTGTCAATCTTCGCAGCCTCGTGTGCAAAGCATCATCGATTTCAAGCAGATGTCGTCCCTAAAACCCGAAGGTTCAGCGTTATCAGGATCATGATCTTGCACGCGCAGGTTGCAGTAGGGTCGGGGCAAACGAGGAAAGTCCAAGTGGGCGCACACACGCAAACACGTGATGCAGATCCTGCGCGGGCAATCAAAATGATGGTGGGGTCTGCGCAATATCGTTTGGCAGCCGTGCGGCAGTGCATAGAGGTAGACCTCAGAGCGTTGAGCAGGTGCCGATTACATTGTACACATGTCACTCAGCTGAGCTGTGCTTTGTCGCAACCGTCTCTGTCTCTGTATGCTTGGACGGTTCGCCAGGTCACGACATCAGTGAGATCGTGCGTTCGGCTCGGGCAGCCCAAAACAAAGTCGATTCTGAGTGGGATGCCGGGATTAGGTCGAGGTAGTGTTTTATTTGGAGTGGCTGTTTTGAGTTACCGGGTTATCAAGCAGGCACGAGTCGAGGTTCGATGTATCCGCCTGTCATTTCGCCTTCATTCTTGAGTAGATGGAGATAGCAAGCAGTCGAAGCCGAAATACCCTCAAGATCGATTATTGAGTAGGGGTGGCGAGCGTGTGAAGTAGATTATATTCCGATGATACTTTATATTCTGTTTGATGAACATTCGAAATCGTAGGATTCTTTTATCAGTTTTGTGGATGCCGACAGGGCCGAGCCCAGAAGCCGCGAAAGCTCGAAGACTCCAGATATTGATAATTTGTATTTGGCACTTGTGTGATTGGAATATTTGGATTTCCACTTTGACGATTCTGAAGCCGTGGATATATTGCTTCATATGGAGAATGGAGATGTTCCATGCAGGTAATGAAAATATTCGGATTCAATTCGTTGAAACTGGATATAACCTTTTAACCGTTCCAGCCAGGGAGTGCGAATGTAGTTTTACCGGTGTTTGGATTCTGGATGTTCAATATTCAAATCTTCGGGGGCGCAGTCTGTAACCTTTGTGCTCCAAGCAGGCGTACTCAAGAGTCGGCCTGAGCAACAAAATCGACAAATCGTTGCCGTGTGGCTGCAGAAGCTGAGTGCCTTCGATGAGTTCGGGCTGGGTATTCCAGTCGATTGAACACATCCTCCAATTTTGACAACAATGCAGCGTGAGTTTTTGCAACGCGACGGTTTTTGGATACCGGTGCAACATACATTCAGAGTCTTTGTGCTGTCCATGTCACGATAGGGCTGCCAGCATCTTTTCCGATGATCGTGCGCATGCAGAACGTCCAGACTTGTGCAGAAATTATGTGCTCACGCACGTTCGCCTTTAAACGCCCACGCGTCAACGCCTGCCGCTTTCAAGTTTCGAGATGGGGGAGGAGGTAGTGGGGTATCCGGTTGTTTAGGTTTCGAATCCAGGGATCGATGATGTCCGCCCCCGTATTCACCAGCTGTGCTCTCAAAGTGGGTGCTTGTTGTGGTGTTGTCACTTTCTGTGTGCTTTTCACGCCTATTGGTAGCAGATTTGAGGGTATGCAGCGAAATCCGCCATCCTGGCATGCCTGTCACCTGTTTGGCCTGTCCTGGTAGTTGCGGGCGTCCTACATACCTGCAACGCCTGGGCCACCCCGCCTTTCAGCACCTGCGACAAGAAGCCGTGCGCGAGGCCGCAGCACAACTGCCGGAAAGCGGCGTGCCCCCGGAGGTGCTAAAGGTCATCCACGGCATGAGAGAAGAGGACGAGACGAGCCAGAAACTGCAACCGCAGAAAGCAGCAGCGCCAACGGACGCCCCGGCTGAAGACGTACAGCAAGCCGGCGCCATCTTCGCCAATCAGCGCGCCCGCGCGGTCCTTCCGGAAGGCTGCAACCAAGACAGAGAGGACCAAACCTCCGTGGCCACGGCCGCCCTCAACGACCTCGAGGACCAACTCCGAAGCAAGCAGCAGACCGAAAAGATCCTGGAAACCTACGAGGTGCGAACAAGCAACATACTCGTGGACCAGTTCCAGCCGCTCTACTTCGCTACGGCCTTCAGCTTCTGCTTCGCCCACGGCACCGCTTGTCCCGACGTCAAGAACAACCAGCAGGGGGCCCGCAACAACCGGCAGCAACGGCGGAGGAGCAGGAACCCCGACGCCCCCGAGGTGGAAATCCACGCATGGGCGGCGGCCATGCAGCGTCGAGCCGAGACCCAATTCCGACGCGACTGGACCTTCGGCTTCACCCTCTGGAACTACCTCTTCAGGACCATGGTGAACCTCCAACAAAACACCTTCATCTACAGCGTCCCCGACGACCACAACGGACGCAGAGCACTCACCAGCCAAGAGATTCTGGAAGGCGGCAAAGAAATCCAAAAAAAACTACTCAAAGGGCATTACCTCGACGTCAACGGCCAGACGAAGGCCGTCAACGGGGATCTGAGCAAGGTGCGCTTCGCCACCGGGCTGGGGACAGCAGCCTTGAAGGCGCGCAGAACCAACAAAAAAAAAGCCCCCGACGCCACGGAACAGAAACTACTACGACCGGAAAACACAAGCTTACATACGTAGACTCGCAACCCCCCCCCCCCTGCCTGCAACGACACGACGAAAGAAAGCCAAAGAGCCACAGGTCCTGGACAACACGGCGGCGCGCAGCAAGAACACCCCCGGCACCCACGAGGTGCGCACGACCATGCGCCACCAAACCCATGCCAATCGAGTCTGCCACGGCACCCCGCTCTTCGTGACCTTCTCCCCGTCCGAACGAGACAACACAGTGATGCTGCGCCTGGCCCGCGCCCGGCAACCCGACCCCAGCCTCGGGCAAGAGACCGAGACCAATCGCGCCGCGCAGAGCCGAAGCAAGCCCGAACTGGACGTGGAGTTCTACAAGCTGAACCCGGAAGCACTCGCCGCGGAGCTGCCGCCCTACGACGAACGAAGAGCCATTCTGACCAAAGATCCCGTGGCCTGCGCGGACGGCTTCCGCATCCTGGTACAGCTCGCGCTCCGGCACCTCTTCGCCGTCCGCTACTGCCCAAAATGCCCCGACTGCGCGAATTCCGACAGACCCTGCACGGATGCGTTCGGCAGCAACGCTATGGCGTGCGGAGGCATCCTCGGCCGACTCGACGCCGCCTACGGCTCCATCGAATGCCAGAAGTCCGGGGTGCTGCACATCCACTTCCAGGCCTGCTCCTCGAACAACACCTACTATAGACAGAAAACCACCCACCCACTACAAGCATGCTTGCCCGCACCACACGAGAAAACCGCCAGACACCATACCCCACCCAAACACAAGAAGAACGACACAAGCCGAAGCCTCGACCGCATGCTCGCCTCGCCCGCAGCTCTTCCTCCAGTGCTTCCACCAGTTCAAATCCCGCTCGGAGTTTCACGCGCTGAACCCGGAGCACAAGATGGACCTCTTCCAGAAATACTGCACCTACACCGCTCACGTCAGCCGCACCGTCTACCAGGATCCAGAAGAATGGGAGAAGAAGCGCCAAGAAACGGAAGAAAAGTGGCCCGCCTACCGCGACTCCCTGCTGGCCCTAAGCCCCCCCAACTATCAGAGGGCCGACGCATCCATGGACGATCCAACCTGGCGGCGGCTCTTCCTGGACGAGGACGTGGAGGCCCTGCAGCAGCTGAAACAGCACCACGTGCACCTTCCCAAGAAAGCCGGCGGCCCGCGCCTGCCGCTGGATCACTGCCGCGACAAAAAGACCCCACCAAGTGCAAGTCGGGCTTCCCGCGCGAGATGCAGCTCACCGACACGACGACGCTGGTATGTCAAGGCCTTGCAGAAGAGATGGGCATGGCCACAAAGGGCAAGCGCAGCGCCCTCGGCCGGCTGTGGGGGCCGTGCAACGACCCGAACCTCAACGGCAACCATCCAGCCCTGCTGGCCGCCCTCCGCTGCAACGGAGACGTCCAGGTGCCCTATCGCTTCCCCATCACCGAAGACCTCCACGCAGCGTCTGGACGCTGCGGCAAAGACTGCCCCGCCCAGGCCAACCTGCACGAAATGATCCAGCAAGCCCAAGTGAACCAGGCCGCGCAGGCGGGCTACGCCTGCGACTACAGCAACAAGCGGAACCCCATCGCCGTCAACGAGGTCCAGGAGTGGAAGAAGAGCCAGAACGACCTGCAGGCGGAGCTTCAGAACAAACCCTCCAGCGGCTACGTCGGCGCCCGCGTCTCGAAGCGCCTCATGACCGACGCCTTCGCCCGCGGCGTCGTCCGCGGCTCCGTGGAATGCGCGAACCTCATCGGCAACGCCGGCCACAACGACCCCACCGCGGCGGAAACCATCAAGACCGCCCAGGTCGTGGAGATGTCCCTCAAAACCGGCATGGAGCTCTTGCGAAGAGCCATGGAGAACCGACCCTGGCAAGACCGAGAACAACTGCAAAGCGACCTCCACAGGAATTCAAACGCGCAGGGAAAAAGAAAGATCATCGCCCGACCGCAACTGTGGACCGTCTACGGGAACCGTGGAAGCGACCCACGCGTCCGACCCCTCTCAGCCTTCGAGTTTGCGCGCTACTACCACATCCAGCTTGCGCGCCACCCGTGGACGGTGGAAAGACAGGAGCGCGCCACGGACGCCCTGGCTCGCGGAACGACGGACGCCCCCTTCCATGCCCTGCTGACGGAAAACGGCACCACAAAGCTGAGCGAAAAAAGGGGCAAGAACGCACTGGAAAGCGGCGACGACTACCTGATCCGGGAGGAAGGCGGTGAAGACTGGATGCCGATGGGAAAGGGCAACTCCTCTCAGAGGTATCGCCACGACTGGATCATCACCCCACGCAAACGACCCCATGTGCCGGTGCTTTACGGCGCGCTCGGCAGCAACGGCGAGGAGGAGCACATCGTGAAGATTCTGCTCCTCTTCTGCCCATGGACCAGCAACCCCGAGGACGC